CTCCGCCCTCGTCCCTGCACAGCTGGCAAGCGCGGAGGAACCACATCCCAACCTCATGCGCATGATACTCTGTCAAGCCGTCTGGATCAGTCTCCCACGCTTGAGGATTCAACCTCGATCCGTAGGGGTACATCTTTCGCATGACGACAGCGACGAAGTCCGATTTCTTCAGCCGCTCCTCAACAGGTGTGAGGACGTCAGGTCCAAAACGTTGCTCCAACGCCTCCTTTAGCCGCTTCTTCGTGAACTGCATGAACTGCGCCTCTGATACACAGTCGTGCGGGCTGCTCACTTTCTTCGCTTCCTTAAGTTGCAGCATACTGTGGAAGTGCTTTCGAATATTTTTTATTTTGTGGTGGCAATCCTTCTGCCACTCGATGTTCATAGCTCGCAACTTCGGTCCCAGCGCCGCACAATCATCCGAGACAACGCACCGGATCTTCAACCCCTTGTCCATCAGCCATCGCAAAAGTTGCACGACGGCTGGCACCTCAAGCGCATTCGATGCCTTACCTTCAATCTTCGGACGGAGAGTGTGAACACCTACAACAAGCCGAGTCTCGTACTCCATCGTGGTGACAGTGCAATGCTGCGCGCCTCTGGCAGAGTCATATCGACCATCAACCATCAATGTCACAGACTCACCACGGCGCATCACAGGGTCAATGACAAGCTCGCAATATTTTATGCCCTGCCGTACGACCTTGGCATTCCACCCCTCCGCCCCCCCCGGTTCAGTGTGCATAAACTTGTAGAATGTGGGTTTGTGCACCGAGCACATCCCTAAACAAACACAAAAGTTGTCGAGTAGCGTGAACGTAAGGCCGGCGGTGACCGTCGCATGAAAAAGATGCTGCATCAGTCGCGACTGATAGACGTTCGTGGTCACGAGTGCCGTGTGCCACGTCCATTTGCATTTCTTGTCGCATACGAACGTCAACTTACAGAGTTGCGCAGGATACGAGACGAACTTCACAGACACACGGCATGAACCCTTGTACCACGGACAATATAGATGAAACATGACGAGCAATTGAAGAAGCTTAACCGGCTCCAGAAACACAACATCCAGCGCCGTCGGTCCACTCTATCTAGCCATCGCCTTCTCAACACTGGTACGGTCAATTTCAGGTCTAGGACCGCACTGGTCAACACCGTCCCAACTATCCCACCACGTCTGCGGCCGGACAGGTGTCGGTGTGCAACGACCCGCGCTGCGGGGTCTGCCACGCCCTCTATCACTGCGCTGCGATGCACGACACGATGACGGGAACGAGTTCTGCGATCCGTCATGAGACTCACCCAAGCCTCCGCTCGCTGAACCGTGCGAACCCCCCTGACCGTAGTCAACACCCGAATCGCCTGGCATGTAACGCAACGTGAAATCTCGACCGCACACCCGAGATGGCAACGAAGAAGAAATCGCATCTCCTACCTCGTCTCCAAACTCCGCTCGGATGGCTGGCAAGGACCAGTGCAGCAGCCGATCAATAACGTCGCTGACCGGTCCGCGCTGGTCACCCAGGTCGGCCATGGCGTCGCGGAGAGCGTACAACCGTCTCCGACACGCGTCCCACACACAGATTCGCACGATGCTGTTACCGCTCGAACACGACGTGCCGCCGATTGCCACTGAGTTATCCGCATCGTCAAACGGAGGTGTGGAATCTGGAGCGACAAAGGGAGCCTGAGGCGGCACCGCAAACGAACCCGCCGCCTCGTCGATGACTCGTCGACATGAAACGGGTGGAGAACGCAAAGCGTCGCTGCAATCTCCTGGAAGCGAACCGCCTCCAGCAGGACATGGCGGGGCCACCGCATGTGACCATACAAACGTGCCCGCGTCACGGAACCCGGCCACACCCGGCGGAGATGCCCCCAACACACCGGCGAAAGGCGAGATGGGTGTCACGCCCGGCCCAACGACGCTGTCAGTCGCATGCGAAACGGTACCGCGGCGCCGATTCCCCAACCGGACCTCCGGACCACCGCTGTGTGGTGAAACACCCAACAACCCCCGCGCTGCATATGGAGATCGATCGACGCTTTGGCGAGGATCCGGGGTCCCCTTCGGAGATCCCTCAATGGGCGATGATCGAGCGGGGACAGCGTCTCCGCCTGTCGGTGACATTGTCAATGTCAGGGTCTGCACAGCACCGAGAGTCAGACAAGCACGAAGTAAGGAGTCAACAGAAAAGTGTGTGTGTGTGTGTGTGTGTGTGTGTGTGCGTGTGTGTGTGTGTGTGTGTGTGTGTGTGTGTGTGTGTGTGTGTGTGTGTGTGTGTGTGTGT